TATTCTAAGGCCTCATTCCCACTATGATTTAACTCAAATTGCTAATCAGGTTATATGTAGCTTGTCCCCAACAGGTTTCGATCCTGTTGAGCTTGGTTTCAGTTGCGATGAAGCAAGGCAAATGCAAAAAATCCCTGATCTTTTCTGACAGTAGCTTCCTGGCAGTTCTTTTGAAAGGAACTGATTCAGAAGTGTGTTCAGCACGTGGGAACTGAATTGCATCATTCTGGAGAGGAGGGATTAATGGCAGAGGGGTGTTTACCATCCCGACTCATTTTTGGGTAAATCAGCCATCACCACCACCCTCAGCGCTGCCTTTGTTTGCAGTGTGACCTATGGGTGATTTTCCTCCCTTCCCCACAATTTTCCCCAAGGCTGATGATGGCTGGCCAAAAGGAGGGCACAGACCCCCAATCCCCCCCCCTTGCCACTGATAACGCACAGATGATTGACATGCATTTTGAAGGGACACAAACTAGTGGGAATGACAATCATGCCAAAAAAGAAGTGATTACAAGGGAATAATGAAAAGATCTGCTTTCATAGTGGGAATGACAGATCTTTTGAAACTGATTCACTGACACGGAGTGAAGGCAAATTGCAAACCGGTTTAAATGTAAGTGAAAGGGAGCCTAAATCATTTTGATACCTGAGCACAGCAACAAATAGTATCTCTTTTCCTGTTTTTCCAACAACTGGGAAACCCCATCAGAAAGAATAATAGACCAGTTAGAATTTTGCCCAATTTTCTCCTGATACAGGAAACCCGTAGACAGAAAATGGAAGGAGGGGGGTTGTTACCAAAATCCCTTGTATTTTTATTTAACAGAATAATCCCTTGAACACACGGAGAATACTGCAAAAGAATATTCATTTTTTCCTAGAACAGGAAGAAAGCTATTATAATTATTCATTCTTGCAGTTGAGGATGAAATATTTGAGGGTTTACCTCCCTATTCCACCCCCACCCTACAGTCTGACCAACAAACAGTGGCCAAGATCCTATATCAAGGATGTGAAGTGTAACTTTGTGCTCAATGAGTCACATGGTAATCACCATGTTGCCTTGTTTGTGAGTTGCAATGTTGTGTAACTATAATTGCATCAAAATCAGCATGGATATCTGCATGTCAATACACACTTTCATGTGTGTAATGCACAGGCACATAAATGTGCAGTTGTGTGCAATGCACATGTGCAGACATGCACAATGGGTAGCCATGCACAATACCTCTGCATGTATAGCTCACAATTTTGAACTGAATACAGGCACTCTGGATTGCACAAACATGTCCAACCATATTTGCTGAGGTACTTATAGTGTGTGCAACTTCAACAGGATTCCAGCTCTTTTCTCTTTTCTCTTCTTTTAGAAGAGCCCTCCCTCCATTCCATCCAGTGTCATCTGAGGGAGAGACACTAGGCCCAGCACCTTCAGGCCTAGTGTAAGAAGAAGAGCCCTCCCTCCATTCCATCCAGTGTCATCTGGGGGAGAGACACTAGGCCCAGCACCATCGGGCCTAGAATAGGAAGGAGGGATGGGATTTGAATTTGATTTATCTGCTTTGTTGTTTGAAAATGCTGTACGCCGCCCTGATTGCCTAGCAGAGGGGCGGGATATAAATAAAAATTATTATTATTCTGTTTATCCTGGGTGGGATCCTGTTAATTAGCCCCAACCAGAGCAGATCCTTTGAATCAATTCTTAAATAATGATTCAGCATAGAAGTAAATCCAGTTGATTTGATATATTTATTCTAGATGGGACTAACAATAGGATTAAGACCTCTGTATCTTAGCTGGCACAAGTCTTGTCAAAATAACTTTTAGTGTTTTTTTAAAATAAATTTTAGTTCCATATAAAATAAACACCAATATACTACATACACTACAATAACATATACATATACATATACATTCATACACATACATTTAAGCTTCTTAATAAAACTATAATAATCTTTTTGTATTTATGTCACTTCCTTAACTTAACCCTTGCGTATTGATATATTATACTTAAACCCTTTTGTATAAACCTTATATTCTTTATTGATATGTTTTTCATTTCTCATTTTCACTATCCCTGGTGTTTATTCACACCTTTTTCTATTTATGGAGATGTATATATATTTCTTCATATATATATATAAATATGTATTTTTCCCCCTGATTTCAATTTATATCTTAATATCATTCATTCATTGGAAAATGAAAAACAAAATAATTTTTAGTACTGTTAATATTTTATTTTGAAATTAATTTTAAAATAGACACATTTTTTACTTTCTATGTCATGTTTCATTTTAGTTGGAATCACTGGGGGCTTGTGATTTTCATGTAAGTGGGGCATTGAATCCACTGGGTTTGCTCTCACCTTTAAATAACTTGTTCCATATGTTGACCCCCAACTCCCAAATAGGCTGGACACTTTGGATAGCTCCTTCACTGTTCAGACTGGAACCTAGAGTGGATTTGGATTCCATGTACCACTGCTATGGAAGTCACCAACATCTGTTTGGAGACTTCAAATATGCTCCAGACATGGTGGGCCCAAGGTAGTTTGCTGCCTGAGCCAAAGGATGGGACCCATCACATGTAGAAAAACTATCTAAATAAGCTGTTAAGTCTTAATTTAGTACTGATGACGAGGCAGCATCTGCACCTGTCCCTCCCCCCATTTGATGCCAGATGGCTTATTTTGCCCACTAATGGTTAAAATGATGTGTTTAAAATTCTGATATGACTTTCTGGTATGAACAAAGAAAACAAGCATCACTGGGGAGTACTAGAGCAGTTTGAGGGTAGCTTGGTAATTTTGGCTCAAATAAGTCTATTGGGCATGGCATAACCAGAGTCAGCAAAATATGATTTAACGAATAATAATAATAATAATAATAATAATAATAATAATATAGCCCGCCCCTCTACAAAGCAAACGCATTATAGAAGAACCTCTGAGAGCAAAAGGTACTGAATATTTTATGCATGTGGGCAGAGCAGCAGAATTGACTTAAATTAGCAAAGGCCACAAGTGATGGGGACATTGGATTATTTGGCTTTCATTCTGAAGCTGTGTCCTTCCAACACAATTCTAGGGTTGGCAACTGCTTGCTGACTCAGACAAAAAATGGCCACCTAAGTTCAGGACAACCGTTAAACTCCTTGGTGGTCTGACACTTGGCTGGACAGGCAATTGGCTCATATGAGGCTGGGGTTTTGCGTGGGCACTAGCAACTGAACTGTGAATGGCCTGGCGAATGTTTGCATTATGTACATAGTAACATTAACCGAAGCATCTGGATGCTTTGGGTGAACAATATAAAATATATAATTCTAGTATCAAAACAAGAGAATTGCAAACCTCAGAGTCTAGAATGCTACCTGTCTGCAAAATCCAGATGGCAATGTTGATTCCTGCCAACATAATTCCCGTAGACACTAGTTCCATTTTTACAGCAAGCTCACTATGATGGAAAGTAATTGTAAGCTATGCTGAAAATAGGAATCTCTCTCTTTCTTCTGGGATTGGAAAAAAGAAGATTTTTGTAAGAGGATCATTCATAAAAGTACCAGTCTTGGGTGTTCTGCTTTGAACCAAGATTAAAAATGAATACAAGTCTAGAGAATGGCACAAAAGTAACTGGTATTATCCCATTTCTGCTAGCACTGGGCCAAAAATTTCTTCCACATTTTTCCTGACCATTCTCATTTAATGTAAGATTAAAAAAAGAAATTGCTTTCACAATGTTCAAAGAAGATAGTCTCAGAGAAATTCTCATGGGTACCATGGGGGTTTGGGGTTTACATTACCTAGTTATATGATTTTCTCTGTTTATGTAGGAGGGATTATCCTATATTTCATTGTATCTTTCATTATTGCACCATGCTTCAGTTAAAGCCCAGGGGAAGACATCCTGAGGTCATTCCACACTTTTGGGGTCAGAGAGTGCAAGGCAGATGGAGAGGATGCAAAGCAGAGCTTGAAATGTTACTTATTTTTTTAAAAGAACCAGTTATTTTACTCATCCCCCAGGTCCTTACTGGTTAGTGTTATCATAGCAGTGAAAGTAGCTTGTAGAATTGCTCATCACAAACATATTACTATTACTGTATATTTGTGATGAGCAATTCTACAAGCTACTTTCACTGCTATGATGACACTAACCAGTAAGGACCTGGGGAATGAGTAAAATAATACTGTGCCACTGAAAAATGCAAGAAAATGTTCTCTGCTTCTACCATTCTCTAATAAACATGGCTTGGCTTGGATGACATTGCTTGGACTCCCAACCAAATTACCCACATAAGCACAATGTATCCTAGGTTTGCCGGTTCAGGAATGTTTCCTTGGCATCACTGCCCAGGTTGTCACTTGGTGCTGGGGGGTGGGACCTATGGGTGGGACTTCCAGTCAGGGCATCGGGAGGGGGGGGCAAAAGGGCTCCTTCCACCTGGCTGCCATGAACCACTCTACTTATAAGAAGAACAGCACACAGCAGGGAGGCGGGTTTGGCACACTCCCTTGGTGTTACATGCCATGCCGCCGGTACCAAGGTGGGATCAGCACTTGGCTCCCTTGGTCCACCACTTCATTCTCCTCATGAGAACAAAGCAACAGCACTGAGGTGGGGGAGACAATGGGTGTCACCTCTCTTCTGGGGTGTCACCCTGTGTGGGCCGCACCCCTGCAATCCCCTAGTGACACCACTGGATTGTCCCAGGCTCTAAGGCTTCTAGGCTAAAACCTGAGACCTAAGGACAGCCCTAGTGATAGCATCCAATATTATACATTATTAAGCAGTAATCACATTTGTTCACAGCTTGTCATTCCGACATACACATGTGCGCACACAGAACACTTATTTAGTTAGGCAGTTAGAGAGAAATCTTAACTAAAGATGCTGTCCCTAGATCAATGTTAAATGAAATAATTTTATTCCTTTTGCTGACTTGGGGAGATAGGTTAAGAGATACTGAACCTAGTTTAGTTGCTTCTGAGAGCCAGTGTGGTGTAGTGGTTTAAGCATTAGATTCTGACTCTGGAGATCAGCGTTTGAATCCCAGCTTGGGCATGTAAACCCACTGAGTGACTTTGGGGAAGTCACACTCTCTCAGCCTCAGAGGATGGCAATGTCAAACCCCCTCTAATGAAATTTGCCAAGAAACCCCATGATAGATCCCCCTTAGGGTCGCCATAAGTCAGAAGCGACTTAAAGGCACACAACAAAAGTTGCTTTTATCCAGAAGGTGGATACAGGGCAGGGCAGAGCAGAAGATAAGCTGTGGTGCAACAACAACTAAGAGAGAAGGAGGAACCTAACTCTGCTCACTTATTAGAGTGGAACATAAAAATCTTAAAAACACATGCATAAATAAAAATGGCCTGCCATTTAGCCAGAGGAAGCTGTTGTTAGAGAAACATATGATCATTTGAACACATCGAACTGGTTGCAATATTTATTGGATCTATTCCTGATCTTTGTGCATTTTAACAGAAGGTGTGGAATAGAGCCAAATGCTTTACTGTCCTATGAAATGGAGCAAATGAATCAAAAGCTACAGAAGAAATAACCAAATCAAAGGATGAATTGTAAGACAGACAGGGGTGGTGAGGGTGGAAGATAAATATACCTATTATATTTTCTCCAGAACAGTTATATCATAAGGAATCTAGCATTTTCCTGGTGGAGAACATAATTTTATCTGGTTTCTGCAAAAGCCAGTGCTAAGTATGGACAACTTGTCAACAGCTATGAATTTATTTAGTTATTGCATTTATGTGGCTGACAATTAAGGGGAACCTTTAAATGCTCCAGGATAGACCATGTTAATAATTGAGGAATCCCACAGAGATGACTTTATGACTGGAATTCTTAAAACTAGCAAAGCAAACAGGAGGGGAGGAGGGTTGGGATGACCTATCAGTTGAAAAATAACCACAGAACTGAAGAATGAGGCTGACTGTCCTGTTTCCAAATCAAACTGGAAAACTCAGTAGGACAGGAAAACCAAGGTTCTGTCACTTCACCTTTTTTTTTTTTTAACTCTAGAGAAATGGTTTGTAAACACTTGGCTAGGAATCCCACATTTGAATATAAAAATGGAGATGAATGCTTTGGAATAAAATCATAGAATCATAGAATCATATAGTTGGAAGAGACCACAAGGACCATCCAGTCCAACCCCGTGCCATGCAGAAATTCAAAATCAAACCATCCTGACAGTTGGTCATCCAGCCTCTGTTTAAAGACCTCCAAAGAAGGAGACTCCACCACACTCCAAGGGAGGTGTTCCACTCTTGAACAGCTCTCACTATTAGGAAGTTCTTCCTAACGCTGAAGTGAAATCTCTTTTCCTGTAGCTTGCATCCATTGTT